AAAAAAAAAAAAAAAAATGCTAGAGTTAATGTTCATTTTATTTTATGTTTTTGAGAAAGAATCTTGCTATATTGCCTTGGCTGGACTGCAGTGGTACCATCACAGCTCACTGCAGCCTCAACCTCCAGAGCTTCAGCAATCTTCCAACCTAATGTTTATTTAAGAAATGCAGTCTTACTGTTACCAAAGCTGGAGTGCAGCGGTGTGATCATAGCTTACTGTAGCCTCAGCCTCCTAGGCTCAAGTGATCCACCAGTCACACCTCCCCAGTAGCTGGGACCACAGGTGTGCCCCGCAATGTCCAGCTCGTTTTATTTTTAAATTTTAGCAGAGACAAAGTGCCGCTATGTTGACCAGGCTGGTGGTGATCCCCTACACTCAAGCAGTTCTCCCACCTCAGCCTTCCAAAGTGCTGGGATTACAGGTGTGAGCTGCCACACCTGGCTGAGGGGATTAATTTTTAATGATATATAGAGCTCAAAGCAAATATTAGAAGGAGCCTAAATGCCTATGGCAGCTGACTGGTAAAGTATAATACATCCCATATAATAAAACATTATGTAACCGTGAAAAGGATTAAGATAGATCAATAGGTATTGGCACAGATGTCCGTGAAATATGAAAATGACAAGTGATATCCAATTAGCCTGTATGTATCTTGAAGAATATGGCCAATTATTTGCTGAGATAAGATGGGTCTAAAGAGTGAAGGAAGTTTTTCACTTCTTTATTTAAAAGTATTTACTATTTTTATAATTTAATACAAGATTAAATAAATAGATCATCGAATTAGCAAAAGACACATTAACTCTATAAACAGAAAAGATATGGACAGCCCAGACATGGTGGTTCATGCTTATAATACCAACAGTTTGGGACGGGGTGGTGGGAGGATCACTTGAGGCCAGGAATTCCAGACCTGCCTGGGAAACATATCAAGACCTCATCTCTACTAAAAAAAAAAAAAAAATTAGCCAGGCGTGGTGGCATGTGCCTACAGTCCCAGTTACTGAGGTGGAAGGATCACCTAAACCCAGGAGGTCAAGGCTGTACCACCATACTCAAGCCTGGGCTACAGAGCAAGATAGGGTCTCAATAAAAAAATGGGGGGGGGCAATAAAGAAATAAAGCTAGCTGGGCATGGTAGCTCACACCTGTAATCCTAGCACTTTGAGAGGCTGAGTCAGGTGGATCACTTGAGGTCCGGAGTTCGAGACCAGCCTGACCAGCATGGAGAAACCCTATCTCTAGTAAAAATGCGAAAATAGCCAAATTAGCCAGGTATGGTGGTGCTGGAGAAGACGAGTGCCTTTGGAGATTTGTACACCACAACCAGAAAGAAAAGCCTCTTTCATGTTCCTCTAGCACCATGTACTGACAACATTTAATAATGCACCAGGTGACAGAGGAAGCATTTAAGGAACCCACTTCTAGGGTCCAATGACTGCCCGTCAGTTCTGAATTCACACTTCACTGCAGAGCAGGCATTGAAAGGTGAATTCAGAACTGACGGGCAGTCATTGGATGAACAGCTAGCACATGACACATTTCCATCTATCAAGGAAGGAAGGGAAGAGAGAAAACAGAGAAAGGGCCCAGGCATGGTGGTTCATGCCTGTAATCCCAGCAGTTTGAAAGGCCAAGGCAGGTGGATCACTTGGGTCCAGGAGTTCAAAACCAGCCTGGGCAACATAGTGAAACCCTGTCTCCACTAAAAACAAAAAAATTAGCCAAGTATGGTGGTGTGTGACTGTAGTCCCAACTTCTCAAGAGGCTAAGGTAAAAGGATCATGAGTGTCTGGGAGTTCAAGGCTGCTGTGAGCTGTGATCACACCACTGCACTCCTGCCTGGGCGACACAGCAAGATCATGTCCCAATAAAAGAAATGTTGGTGAAAATGCAAAAAAATTGGAACCCATATACATTAATGGTAGGAACATAAAATTATTTAACCACTTTTTTTGGGTGTTTCTTTTCTTGACATTTTAATTGGATTTCTTTTAAATCGAGACAGGGTCTCACTATCTTGCCCAGGCTGGTCTCTTTTAACTCATAGACTCAAGTGATCCTCCCACCTCGGCTTCTCGTGTAGCTGGGATTACAGGTGTGAGTCACCACACCTGACTGGTATAACCACTTTGGAAAACAGTTTCTCAAAACGTTAAATGTACAGTATCATAGAATGCAATAATTTCTCTCCTAGGTATACACACCAGAGAAATAAAAATATATGTCCACACAAAAACTTATACATGAATCTTCATAGCAGCACTATTCATAAAGGCCAATCCATGAAAACATCCCAAATGTTCATCAGCTGATGAATAAATAAAATGTGGTATGTCTCTACCATGGAATATTCAGCCATAGAAGGAAAGAAATACTGGCACATGCTATGACATGAAGGAACTCTGTAAACATTGTGCTAAGAGTGAAAAAAAAAAACCAGCCACAAAAGATCCCCACATATTGCACAATCCTATTTACATAAAAGGTCCAGAATAGGCAACTCTACAGTGACAGAAAATAGATTAGTGATTGCCTATACGAGCATAGGGGTCTAGGGGGAGTAGAAGGCAGTGGCAAAGAAATGTGGATTTCTTTATAGGGTAATGAAAGCTACAGCTCCATGAATATTCTAAAAACCACTAAATTGCATACTTTGATAAATAAATTGTATGATATGTGAAGTACATTTCAATAAAACTGTTATTTAAAAAAAGAAAATAGGGGGCTGGGCACAGGTGGCTCATGTCTGCCTATAGTCCCAGCACTTTGAGAGGCAGAGGCAGGAGAACCATCTGAGGCCAGGAGTTCGAGACCATCCTGGGCAACATAGCAGGCTTTCATCTCTACAACGAAAAATTAAAAATTTAGCTTTGTATGGTGGTGTACGTCTGTAGTCCCAGCTACTTACGAGGCTGAGGTGAGAATATTGCTTGAGCCCAGAAGCCTGAAGCTACAGCAAGCCATGATCACACCACAGCAGTGCAGCTGAATGACAAGGCAAGATCCTTTGTTTAAAAAGAAAAGAAAAGAAACGCAAGTTTTTATCACTTTGGGAGAGCAACCAAGTTTGAGGAGAAACGCAGAATAAAAGAGCACTGAATGGTGAGGATCGTGGCTGGTTAGCCTCAGTTGCCAGCTAACTGGCCTCTGAAAAATTTGTTAGTAAAACCCGAGCTCTGGGGGTCAGTCAATCAGTGAAATGATGAATGCCAAATACATCACAAATGCTCATCATCTTTCTTTACATGGCTTCTAGTGAAAAATTCCTAAGTGCCTAAATACCAAGTGGTCTGAAATGATGGCAGCTGTTTATTAAAGAAATAAAATCTCAGCCAGGTGCAGTGGCTTATACCTGTAATCCAAGCACTTTGGGAGTCCAAGGCAGGCAAATAACCAGAGGTCAGGAGTTCAAGACCAGCCTGGCCAACATGGAGAAACCCCATCTCTACTAAAAATATAAATATTAACTGGGTGTGGTGGTGCACACCTGTAATCCCAGCTACTCGGGAGGCTGAGGCAGGAGGATCACTTGAACCCAGGAGGCAGTGGTTGCAGTGAGCCGAGATCATGCCATTGTGCTCCAGGATATGTTTTAATACTGTTCTCCTGTGCCATTGTGCTCCAGGAAGTATTTTAATACTGTAAACATGCAAAGATGAGAACCCTGCAGACCGCATGGGCATGGAGAGAAGGAAGTATATTACAGGTGTTGTACGAAGTACTTTCATTCCAGGCACTATTGTTTACCCCTAAACTTTCTTTCCCTAAAATAATAGAGTAAACAAAGAAGACAGAAGATGAAGAAACATTCCATGTGACCCTCTGGACCCTTATTTGTTGTAATAAAGGAAAAGCATTTTAGGGATTTGAGTGCAGTTTATGATGTGATCCATGTTATTTATTTATTGTTAATGATTTTCAAAATTTCAATTAAAAACATTTAGAAATTTAGCTTTATCACAGGCATCTGTTCACATGTAAACTAGTTTGGTTAACTTCATCTGTATAAACATATAGCTAGAGAACTGACATAACTGTTGAATGGAGAATCAACAGAAACATGCCAAGGACTGGCCCTTACCTTCCACAGTGACCTCAATTTCAGGAACCTTTTCATTCCTCTCAGGGCTTCATGGTCTTTTAGGGGACTGCAAAGCTGTAAAATAGGCACAGAATTACTTTAGTATATTGTAGGAAAAAACATACAGAAGGAGATCCTTTCTAGAAGCAGAGTATTAAAATTCATACAGTTTGGCTCTTTTCAAAGAAACCTGCAGAATTAAACTTGTAGTGTAATCCTCCAAAGGGAGGCTCAACAAAGCCATGGAAACATGAATGAAGTGGGATTGCAAACGTGACACTTCCAATGAAATGTTTTATTTTTTTAAAAAAAAGGAAAAGAAAGGTCCATTAAACAAAATGCCTTAAAAAGCCAAGAAACTAACTGCAAGTCCCACAAAGATACTGGCCAATGATTCTGTATGATGTCAGGAATGCTGATAAAGAATGTCTTAATGTAGTGAAATTTAATA